CGCGCTCCGCGTATAGCTTGCGAGTCGCGTAAAAAGGAGGAGAGAGAGGGAGAGAGAGAGAGAGAGCGAAAGGAGGCGCGCATACGCCTCGGGAGTGGCGTTGGCGGCGTCGTCGCTGCCGAAGAGGCACTGGAAATGGAGCTTTTATACGAAAGCACTCCATATCACTTTATTTAAGATTTACCCTCTCGCTCGGCCCTTTCAACCCCCAACAAGACTCGTCCATTTCGCCGCCTCCTCCTCACCCGGCAGCACTCGACGGGCGCGTTTCTCCTATTCTTAAGCCCGATCCTCGCTCTGGCGCGCGGGCGCGCAATGCGCTCCTGCGCTCTCTCCGCTAGGCGTTTATTTATTTCTCCGATATATTCCTGAGACGCATCTGCGAGTCCGCAGCACTCGCGCTAATCTCCTTTGCACAATTGGACGTTGATAAATCTCCGGACTGGTTGGCGGTCCGGACGAATTAGCCTTTTTCCATCGATGAAATACGGCGATACGCAAACAATAGCACGATTGTCTCGCCGGCCATAATTTTGACGGCATTAAGCGTATGCACACATGCCCCGTGCGCTACGTGCGTTTCCTCGGCCTTCGGCCTCCCGCGCATGCATGCATATTCCCCGACGGAGAGCAAGCAGGAGAGAGAGAGAGAGAGAGAGAGAGAGAGAGAGAGAGAGAGAGAACCGGTCGGTCGACTCTCTCCCCCGGCCCCGCGCGCCGACGCCAGTTTCAGTTGGCTCGCGGGACACCTGCTCGCGCTCGCTGCCTCGCTCGCGCCATTAAATTTATATACGAATCCCATCGAGCGACGCTTTATCCAGAATTCACGCCTGGCCACTCATTTCCGTGAGAACGCCGGCCTGGAATCCATCCGCCGCCGCCGCCGCCGCCGCCGCCGCCGACGACGACGGCTAATTAATTTCGCCACTTTTCGACCACGTAATTCCCATGTGCGCGAGCGCCGCGCTGCCACAGGGGGTGGGGGCTTAATTGCTTTGTTATTATTGGCTGATAATAATTAATTAATCGTCGTTGTCGCGGCTAATTGACACTGATTTACGAGGCTGAATTAAGGGGGGGAGGCGTGGCTGAGCGCCCGCACCGACACCTCCGAACACTCAATTTTACTCGTCACGCCGTTGATGAGAATACTTCTCGCGAGTTGCGCGATAAGTTTCCCGAGCGAGCCGCGCGCGGCACTCGTCTGCAGAGTCCGTGGCGAGCGTGCACGTAGGTACAGGCCAGCCTTTGTACGAGTGGAGAGAGAGAGAGAGACCCCCCGGGCTGAATTCATTAAGCCGCTGATTTACCGGCTACTTCCGGTGTAAACGAAATTACAGCCCCCTCCCCCTCGCCACTCCGCCCTCTAGCCGCCGCCGTCGCCGCTCTCGGCCGATTCTTCCGGTTCCGAAAGCGCCGCGCTATGAATCAGCTCGCCCTCCGCATCCGCGCCCAACTTATATTGTTGCCGTAGCCTTCTTTCCGATGCGCGCTCGACCTCTTGCGCAAATATTGTTTCAATTAAAAGGCCGCTCGGGCCAAGCTCTCCAGCGCAAATATATGCTCTGTCATTCGACTTTATTGCTACAAACACTCCTCGACTCGACTATTCCGCATGTAAATTGTCTTTGTGATCTCACGCATTGTTTGATCAATGAATCCCATTGTTGCCGCTTATGGGCCGCAGACTCTGCCGGGACGACGAGAGCGCATTGCTCGCGAGTTTTGCAGGGTGACGCTGCTAAATCGAGAGTCGAGCGACGATCGACGCGCGTCGGCGGCGCGAGCGGCTGCATACGCACGCGCGACGGCGAAAACGCGCGCGGCCCTCGCGCCGTCCACGGATATTCATGTATGCCGAGCAGCTTTGTTCCGCCACTTTTCAGTCGCATTGTCTCGCCGCGTCTGAATGCACGCGAGCCCGTGGCCCTCCTTCGATCCCCTTCGGCCGTTAATCATCCGCTCGTAAATAAAAAAACAAAGAGGCGAGCGAGAAACGAGAGTGGCACTGCGGGAAACGCGCGGCCGTGCGCGCCGCCGCAGCGCCGGCTCGTCGCGCGGCCTAAAACTAAGCTCATTTGCAAGCGGCAACGACTTTTTGCCCGGCGGCCGGCATGGAGCCGGCAAAAATGCATACGTCTTCGTCAGACGTCGCTGGCTTCGACACTCGCTTTTTGCCCACGGGCAGGCCATAGGTCAAGCCGCCGCTGCCCGTTTTCCAAATTAGTCGCAGATTCTCCGGATAGTTTCGCTCGCGGAATTTCGAATTGGCATGCGAACGAAAGCGCCAGCGCGGCCCCGGCGACCGGCCAGCGCGCGCAAGGGGAGGCCGCGCGACCTGCCGGTGAGCAGCCGTCGCGGCGTTAATAAGGCCGCGACGCCGCGAGCCGCCGGCTGATAAATAGGACGCCGATAGATCAAGTGCGTGCCGGCTGGAAGAAGCCAAGGAGAAGCTGCAGTGTCATATAATTAATAACGAGGCCGTCGCCCGCGCCGCCGACTACGGGGCGAGCCGGCTGCGCGCTCTCGTTGTGTTGTTAATATTACATTCCCCAGGCCCGCGCACCGCGCACAATGGGATGGCCCCCAAGCCTCGCAATTAATTCTCCGGGTTTTGCTAATTAAATTTTTGGCCTCCTCCTCCGTGGCGGCGGTGGCGGCGGCGGTGGCGGCGGCGGCGGCGTCGTCGTCGTCGTCGTCGTCGTCGTCGTCTTGCCGTCGGCAGGGCGCGCGCGCGCGCGACAATGCCGTCAGGCTTGCCGGGGCTCTTATGTGCGCGCGACAAGAGCTAATACGAAAATTAATTCCCCGCCGCGCGAAATTAGCGGTTGTTGAGCTAATTTGTCCCCGCCCCCGTCCTTCTTTTACGCTCCGCCGGAGCGACGGCGTCGCGCGCGAATCGCCTGGCGCTCCTCGTCGACAGATGCTCGGACCCGGCGCGCCGTCTCGTTAGCTAGTGCCGCGATTGAGACAGCCGCGCCGCCACATGCCAAATTGCCGAGAAAAATTGGCATGCACTCGAGGCCGATAAGATAAACGCCTATCGCGGAGGGAACTTGGCGAACCTCGCGCCGAGAATTAGCCGGCGAAAGCTTTTTGCCGAGAGCTTACAAGGCTCAGCGCGAGATTTACGGCAATTGGTTTTTTGCAGCTTGTTAAAGTGCTCGCTGCAACTAAATAGATTCCGAGGCGCTGGGCTGGGAGCAGAGGCTAACGAGTATATTTGCGCGCCGCGAGAGAGAGAGAGAGAGAGAGAGAGGGCGAGAGAGAGAGACAGAGAGAGCACAGTGGAGCGGAGCACGCGAGCGTAATTAATTGAATTTCCTCCCCAGGCTGAAAGCCTGAAAATTCATCGGACGATATTGTTTACGAGTCTCGATGCATTAGGCATGTAATTCCCTTAAAAGCCAACGCTCGTCCAAGACTTTCATCGACTGCTTGTCCGCTGCTCTCGCTCACTCTTTCTCTCGGGCGTTGATTATGATTTGCAGAAGACTGGCGTTATTCATCAAGAGCCTGTTTGTGCCGCTGTTGGGGCTTTTCTTAATTAGCGATAAATAAACAAGAGTAGCGAGAAGAAGAGCGAAAAAAGGGCAGAAATCGCGGAAGAAAAGCCAAGCTAATTAAAACCGCGGATGGTAATTAATTAAGCGAGAGAGGGAGCGAGAGCGTTGCCGGCGGCGGAGCCGTTCGCTCCTAGGTCGCTCTCCGGCAGGGGTTCTCAAGCTGTGCCGGCGCCCGCCCCGTTCGGGAAAATCGATGCCGCAGTCAAGCCAGCCGAGCCACGTGCCGATATATAGCCGATTATCCGCGTGTCGATGCCCGCCGCCGCCTGCATCTTCCGGCGCTCGCCGAAAAACCCAAAAATCACTCTGGCCGGAGCTCGGCAAAAATCAATGCCGTCCGCAAAATCAACATTAATAACACGCGTCCGCATTAAGCCCTCGCTCGTCCAAAGTTTGCTCTGGGGCCCGAGAGAGACAGCGAGTGATTTGATAACGCGTCGCTCAGCGTGATTGAGCTGGAGCAATTAATGTTATTGCTCGCGGAGCTCTCGCGGCTCGGAGGGGTGGCGCACACCAACACACACGCTCGCTCGGCGTTCCCCTCTGATCTTATTCTTGGCTCGAAAGGGGTGCGCGCGCGCGTGTGCGTGTGCGTCGAGAGCGCGCTTATTGCCCGTATCGATTCGTTATTAAACGTCGCCGGCTGTTTGTTCAGCCTGTCGCGCGATAACTGCAAGCTTTTTGCAAGCGCCGCCGTGCAAAAGTCGCGCGAGCTGCGCCGCTCGCACGCCGACAAGAGGACGCTCTTTGGCCTTTGACGCGGAGGCGACCGGAATGGCCGGCAGCTGCCCAGCTAACGTTTATAACATTAGCGCTAATGGACTACCTTACACACCTTAGTCCCCGCGCCGTGCATCTCCCTCTCGGACGGCATCCACTATCGGCCGCCGCGTCCTGTCCTCCTCTTTCTCGCTCGCGCACGCTCGCCGCTCTAATATTCATGAGTGCACGCAGGCTAATGCATCAAGGCGAAAGCCTGGAAGCTTCGCCCTCTCGGTTTAGTCCCTCTCCCGACGGCCTGCGGCTCGCGCGACATTTTAATAAATAAGAGGCCTTCGGAATTCAATAACGAGCCTGGGTCTAATTGCGAGGACTGGCCGGCAGCCAGACTCGCTCTCTCTCTCTCTCTCTCTCTCTCTCTCTCTCTCTCTTTATAGAGCACGTGCAGGGCTACGGCGATCGCGCCTGCGTCAAAGCGCGCTAAACCTACAGACACACTCACACCAGCGCGCAGCCGCCACACACTCGCACTCGCTCACTCACTCACTCACTCACGAGTTCATTCCAACCGCGACACATCAACCTTCAGCTGCAGCCAGCTTATCGCTTTCGCGAACGAGATTATTAATAGCAGCACTCACTTGACCGAGCGCTGTCCCGGACCCAGCGCCCCGAACCAACGAGCAGAACAACGACAACATTGACAACACTCACTTTCTCTTCTATTTGCTATCCATCTGCAGCTTTGATCCGTGCTGGCGGCCTATCGATTTAACAGACTACTTCGCTCTACTCCGCTCTTCGCTCGGCCAAGCTAAGCCAGCGCGCACCAAAGTTCGCTAATCGCATTCTGCATCGCCATCCTCGTTCGGTAGAGCAGGCTCCGCTGCTGCCGCTGCTGCCACTGCTGCTGCTACTGCCTGTTGTTGCTCCGCACGACGGACTTTCACTTGAACGAATTATTCACACTGCGGCTTGCGCAACGATGCACACTGACGGTCGCGCACTGTGCTCGCGCTCTCTCTTTCTTTCTCTTGTGCACGCGGCGACGCAAGAGAAACGAGAACCGAGAAACCAAACGAAACAAGAAAGGTTGCGGTTAGGTGGCTGCGCGAGACGAGCTGTATATATATATATATACACACACACACACACACTACGTCGGTACGGTGCGCTCGCAGCGACGGCGGCCGAGCGAGTGTGTTACTCCGGCGGCCGAAGCAGCCGAGCTCCCCACCAGTCGCCGCACTCGCGCAACGCCAGTCTGCGCGAGAGGGGAACGCGTATAGTGTGTATAGCTTGCATGGCTTCGCTCCACGTCTCGCGGCGGCGGCGGCGGCAGCGCCAGCAGCGTCGAGGGAGGAGAAGGAGGGGCGAGACATTTCGCGGGGGACGCGCGCTCTGGCGATATCGCGTTAATTGAACGAGCCAAAGAGGAGTATGAGGGTTGGGGAGGGGGGGGGGGGGGGCAGCTAGAGCGACGGGAGACGACGATCACGGGATTACTCGCGAGTAATTACCTATTTTTATTATGCCCCGCCCGATTGTCAGCTGCTCCATTGACTGCACACTTACAAATCGCTCCGCTCGCTCGCTCGCTCGCTCTTTTTATTCGCTCCGCACTCTGTTCTTTGCCTCGCTGTCGAATGTTGTCGAATGCTCTGGCCTCTCGTAACGGCTGCCGTAAGAGTAAGAAGGCAGATTCGCAGACGGAACGAGCTGCGCCGCGGATAAATTTAGACGTCGGTTGTGCAAGCCAAACTCCAACTTTAAACGAATAGCCGCGACGCTAGCGCTCTGCTGACCCCCTCCCTTCCATCTTGCTCGCTCGCTCGCTCACTCTTTATCTGTCTTTCCCGAGAGTATATTATAATAGTCGCTCTTTCTTCATCCGTTCGGCAATGCGATGGATACATGTAGGTCAGCGGATTTTCAGCTGCAGTCCGATCGAGACGCGTTCGCACTCGTCTGGACGTTTCGACAGTGGGCGCTCGCATTCGTTCCCGCGAGCCGCGACGAGATTCAATTGGCAGGAAGACGGAGAACGGGGTTGAGTTGTGCAGCTATCGGCGACGGAGAGCCGCGCGTAAAGAACATCCCGCGATTGATCCAAGCGGGCGGGCATTGTGCGGACGCCGTCTAACGCAAACACAGATGCCGGCTGCGCTCGCAGGCCGCGAGGCGCTCTCGCACTTGTCAAAACTTTTATCCGAGCGCTCGCGCGGCTCTCGCCGAAAAAAACAAGCGAGCGGGGATGCGCGGTGGCGGGCAACCAACATAAGAACGAGAACAAGAGCGAGCCGCCTCCGGCGAGAGGAAAAAAACGTGGGCGGCAGGAGGGGGGAGGGGGCACGAGACAATGGCGGGCTCGTCGGCTTCGCCAGGTTTTCGCCGGGATAATTACCGGGGACGCGTAAAAGATGCCGCGTCCGCGCGCCGTCACAGCGCGTTATCCCGGCGCGGGCACGCGGGCACGCGGGCGGAACGCGCGCGCATATCGATCGCGCGCGGCGAGACGCAGGATCGCGCGCCGTCGAGTGCCGAATCCACGGAAAAGCAGCGCGGCTCGCTCGCCGCTCCGAATAATTTGATTGGCGCGAGAGGAGATAACCAGTTTGGACGCGCGCGCTTTAGTCGGTCGCCGATGAAATTTCACGGAGTCGCGAGTAATATTTTGCATAAAAATGCAGCGGACCGGATGGACGAGCATCGAGCGGCGAATTGATTAGCCGAGTGTTAAAGCCTATCGGGGCGTGTGGGCTCTGCGGCCGTAACAGGTATATCAGAAAGGAAGATGGAGCGAAGGGGGGATAGGACGGGATCGGGATCGGTGCAGGCGGCGGCGGCGGCAGCGGCAGCGGCAGCGGCGATGCACTCGCGGTAGCGGCTACTTTGTGTGTATGGCATTACGGGAGCCGCGAGGGGGCGTGTCGGTTGTCGGCCAAATGAAAAGCATCCCTAATTTGAAAGCGAGAGGTGAAAAGCAAACAAGTGGCTCGGCAGCTCGGCAGCTCGGCTCTGTCTGGCTCTCTCGGCTGGTTTCCGGAGCGTTGCTTAACGCGCGCCTGCACACTCCGTTCCAATTACGGGTCATTTACCAGGGGCGCAGCGGGGGCCCCGGACTTTTCAATTTCCGTCGCGAGCTTCGTTTTTTAGCGCGCCGCTGCGGCCCACGTAGCCGGAGAGGCCCGCGCGCGATTTATAGCGCTGCCGCCGCTTATTCAACGTTGCGCCCGGCAGCGCCGAGATAGGCACGAGGCCGCATCGGCCGGGCGCTCGGCTCCTCGCTTAATCCCCAAATCAGGTGGCTCCGGCGACTTGCGCGAGGGCAGCAGCTGGGGGCGTCTAATTAGCCGACGCCGAGCGGAGCACGCGGCGGATCATAGAGCGCGCGGAGAGCCAATGACGAGATGAAAAATATTGAAAAGCGCCCCTCGGCGCTCGAGGGGATGTGCATGTGCGTTGGGACCGGCGGGAGGGCTGGGAGGGCTGCGCTTGGAGGGGCCGATCAAGAGGGCCAATTACCATGGGCGACCCCATGGAATATTTCTTGTGCATACGCGTGCTGCTTTTCTATCCCGGCCCCGCGCGCCCGCGCGCTGCTCAAACGGAGCAGCCACTCGACTGCTCGTACGCTCGCTCTCTACGTACTTATGTGCTCTCCGCGTGTATAACGAAATATCGGCCTGCTCTCCGGCTGCGTTCGTTAGAGCCTCGAGAGCACACATTATTATTTCTGAGAGCTTACATGTGCGCGCATGCATCACAACTCGCCGCCAGTCCAATTTTTCCCTCTAGCCGAAAAGAACATTTTTTTCTTTTTTTTTTCCTTCTTGTGTTTTTTTTTCTTTTTTTTTCTTTTTTTTTCTTTTTTTTTCTTTTTCACCAGCGCTGCACAATTAAGCGTGTTTACTAGATTAAATTGGCTAGCGCGATCTTACAGCGCCCGCCAGCTGAATTATTGAGAGCACCGGCGCTCGCTCGCAATTGAAAAGAGAGCCGGGCCGCGGCGCGTTTTCAACAGGCCCGATTGTTACCAAACATGTGTTGCTCCTGCAGCCCGCAGCTAATTATATTTACCCTCGCACTTTTATTATTTATGCGCCCGCCGATTCCTGCCTACGTGTATACGTAATGTGGCCATGCGCGCCCACACGCGCTATACGTATAAGAGGGGAGAGAGAGAGAGAGAGAGAGCACGGTATTCTTTATAATGCGCACGGCCCAAATAAAATGTTGATTGCATCCGTGGTAATTGGACGAAAATCGATGAGCGAGGAAAACCTCATTAGAGCAACATTCAGCTTATACCCACAGGCGCACACACACACACACACACACACACACACACACACACACACACACACACACACACACACACACACACACGCGCGCGCGCGCGCGCGACGTACGTGCGCGCGCTCGCGTGTGAAGCCCGAACGAGAAAGAGAGAAAGAGAACCTTTCTTCCGCGTCGACGGATTGAGAAGGTCCAAATGCGAGATCCAGGAAATCGCGCTAATTCGACATTTTCCCACACGAGATGTACAGCATCGAGCGCACCTGGCCTCGTCCCTCGCTCTTGCGGGATGCCTACAATTTCGTCGCCTTTTGCGCTACACCCGGCCTGAGCGCTACGTTCTTCCATCTACAATTCCTTCTCGAATTGCTGCCACCACCGCACCCCCCTCAGCCGCCCTTTGATAACCATCTCTAAAGAACAGGACTAGGAGAACGGATCGTCGATCTAAACGATGAGCTTTGTGCTGAACAACTGCCAACAGGATAATAAGAAAGTGAAAAATATAAAACCAATATAGGTGTACAAAGCTTAAACGCTTCGATCTTTTTACCAAAACTGAATCTTTCAACGTATCGGAGTTGTTACTCTACTCTGTACTTCAATTTTTAATTATCCTGGTCAACATGTTGTTACACATATGGAAATTCAAGTTCTCTGTTTGGATTTTTGAAATTACAGTTACTGTCTACTTCGCGCAAAAAATACTCATCCGACCCTGTTAGCAACGATCTCTCTCATTTGATGAACATGTAAGTTTCATAAGTTTCTTTTGATAGCTGATGATAAAGTTACTTGAGATATTTGACCAAAAGCTAAATGTTGGAAAACAGTTTTCAGTGATATTTTGGATAGCTTCATATAAGATAGTTGTTTTGAATTTTTGGTAAAAACTAAGTAACATTTGCGAGACTTGGTCCATCAAAAGAAATCAGTAACTATTTTGGTCAAATAGGAGCATTTTTTGAAAGTTATAAGCTTCAAAGCAGCTTAATTAAATTAGAAAATGGATTTAAAAAGCAGGAAAAAATGTCTGTTTGTAATGTTCGTCACTTTAGGAAAAATTGGAGGCAAATATTTGGAAAAAGCGTTAAAAAATGATGAGTAGTTTTGGAAGGGACGAGGGATCGATCGATCGGTATGTAGAAGTTACTGTTTAAATGTTTGGATGGCTCGAATAACACACGTTCGTTCAAGAGAAATTCGAAGAGTTGCGGAATTGGTTCGTTCGGGTGAAAAACGGCTGTTGTAAGCTTATGTAACTTTCATTAGTTGACAGCCAGAGCATAATGCCACGACACGGTACTGTTGCAATACGCGCAAATTCGAAATCCGTGCGCAACTGGACGTTGGTTCCGCCTGCTTTATCGTTACGTCCAAAGCCTAAGATTGCATACGGCGAACTGTGTCTGCGAGTACAACTAAACGATTGAAAGCTCGAACAAAAGAAATGTGGTTTGGCAGTGCATCGAGTTAACGTAAAATTTTGCCGCGTATAATATCTCGGGTATACATCTTTCCATGAAAAGCATGTATTGTAGGAAATTCAAAGAGGCGTGAATAATGGTGCAAATACAAATAAAATTCAACCGAGCACGTTCGCTCGCTCGACTTATCGAAATAAAGAAGCTTGTGCATCGAAAGTACCTGAGTGGAAATTCGTCCTCTGAAAACGCCGATGGATTTGAGAAAGAGAGAGCGAGACAGACAGAAAGCAGTAGCAGAGAAAGAGAGCGCGGTGGGGGAGGCCGAGGGGGAGGGGGTTGGCAACAATCAAGGTAGACCCAGCATTACACTCCATTCATCGTTGGGGCCACCCCTCGCGCGCCCTTCGGCGGACAATTCTTCATTTGCGTCCCGAGCAAACTCACTGTATAAACTCGGGGATTCTCTCCTCCGC